AAAAAAAAGAAGGCATTCATCATTAAGGATCTACATAGTTTACTATTTAAGGTTTTAAACATTACACTGTTATTGACTCTTCAAATAATACATGGTAAAGAAACAGCTTAGTATGCATGCAAACTAGAATTATTGCCCCACGGTTGTATACCTCCGCCAGCCAGCCAAATTCATGGGAATGGGACAATGACCTTGACCATTCACCTTTCACCTTTCACCACCAAACTTATTCATTATTCATTCTTGAGTCCAATTTGAAGAAATTCCCTCAAGACGTTCCTGAGATATCACAGTCACAAGAATGGGGCTGATGGGTGGATGGACGGCCCAAAAACCTAAAGTCTCCAGCTGTGGTTGTCGCCCACATGGAGGCAAACTAAGAGAGTATTCTTATAATGTGGTGTGAAAATATGACAGATGTTCACACCACTACATTTTTATCTTTCAGTTCCCCTGTGTTTTTAATATATATGATGCATGCTTCACTTGGCACCATGTAAAGCTCATATTAAACTGGTATTACTCAACAAATAAACCTAATATGAATAAACTATATTTTGTGTATGTGGGCAGGCATCACAACTGAAATGTTCTTGTGACTCACCGCATGCTTTCGCTGCACTGATGCACAGTTCCTCTGCTACGTACTCCCCTGGTGGAAACGTGAGGACATTTTCTGAGCCGTTGGGCCCAGAGCCTCCTCCGTCCTTCCCCAGGTAGTAAAGGCGGACAGTGAGGCAGGTGGCATCCACATGCTGCTTGGGTGGGTCAGGTTGTCCAGCTGAGTCAAGGTCAGTGAGGAGGCCATTGTGGTGTGCTGTGGGACATGAGGAAGGTGGATCCATGCCTGTCAGCAGAATACAGGCCATGTGCTGCTTAAAACAAACATCCACCTGTCAGGAGAAAAAGAAATAAAAACAGCTGAGAAGGAGAGTGATGAGACAGGTTCATGATGATATATTGCAGCTCCTAGAAATAAAGGAAATTTGGTCTGGCACTGATCAACTAACACTTCCTGACTGACTATCATATCTATCTGTCCTCTTGTGAGTCTGTACTCTCTTCACTGGATTAACAATTCCTCAAATCATATATACTTAGCAAAATAAAAATAAGGAGGGGATGATTTTTTTTTTTTTTTTTGAAAAGCCAGCCCTCAAATGCATCTCACTGAGGAAAAGAAGTCATCTGAAAAATGCACAGAAAGTGGAAGCAGAGGCTGAAATGAGGATAATAGGCCACAGTTGGAATGTGCTGGAGGGACCTGTTCAGTGCTCTCAGGAAATGAGTTACAACAGATGGGAAGAAGCCATCAATCAAAATTTGCTTTATATTTCTTGCGCATGGAATAATTGGTTCCAAAATGTAAATTCAATAGTTTTTAGTCATGCATAAACAACACAGTAAACATGTTAAACGTTATACTGGGTTGACATCAGCGTGTTTGCAATGTCACTGTGAACATGTTAACATGTTGGTGTGTCACTGTTATGGTTGATCAAGCTGCTGGTGTCACTGTGAGTTGTTTGGCTTCACTTTTCCCCCGTCCTCTGTAGCGGGTAGGGGATATCAATACGATCAATAAATCCATACGTAAAAGCATAACTGGAAAAGTGAGCTGAAATGAGTGTGTGACCTATGTTTATACTTTGATGGCACTGGATCGCTGGGTGTTTGGTCGATGCATTGATCCATAATGTTTTGTGCAAATGTTGCGATGTTGAGCAGATTAGTTTATGAGAAGAAGAAGAAGATACTGTCCCCATGGGGAAATTGGTTTTTGCCATCGTCACAATGAAACATCACGGTTTCAGTACATCACAGATATAGCACATGCACTAAAATTATACTGTGGCCCTAATACTCTTCCGTACACGCACAACCATACACACACACAAAAAAAAAGTTTGTACACTGCAAAAAGTGAAATCTAAGTAAGATGAGATAACTTAAACTAGCCTAAGAGACGCAGTTTTATTTTGCTCTGACAATATATTTCATTTTTATGTTAGAACGTTTCAAGGTTTTTGTCCTTAATTATAAGATATTTTAACTTGTTATTGAGATTTTAATATTGTTCTAAGTAACTTAATGCATGAAATATGAATTATCAGAATTATAGAGCTGTTTGATCAACACTGACAAGTACAAAACTGCTTTGTATCAGATAAATGTTTTAGTCTTGATGCACTACTTTTAAGATGTCTGTGGCTTTTTGAGACAAGATATTTTATTTATTTCTAAAATCCTTGGCAAGTAAAATTGTCCTGTTCTAGATAATTATGCTTATTTTAAGTCACATTTCCTCCATTTTATTACTTTATTTTCTTGCTTTTGAGAGCTGGAATGCTTTAGTTACATCATTAGGTGTTGTCATATTCTCAGTGTTTGTTGCTTCACAATCTGACTTACCCTGAGCACGTCCAGTGACGCTCTAGTGAGGCTCTGCATCAGATACATTTATGAAACGATGCCCCATGATAGAGTTCTGCATTAACATCATGATGGATAATCAAACTAAATATAAAGTTTTTAAATACTGTAGCTTGAAAAATGTACATTTCTGCATTTTTAATTTGAATCCTGATGCAGTTAATGATGCATTACAAACATGAACTGAGTTACAAACCTTAGAAGGTAAATGTTAAGTAAGTTTTAACTGTAGAGCTCATGTAATGTTCAACAGGGTACCTCACTCTCTGGGACACAACACAGAAGCTGGTGAAAAGGAAAAGTAAGATGAAAGCAAAGAGCTATTGATTTTGTTCATAAGCTCTCAGCAAGTGAGGATGAAGGTTACTGATACTACCTAGCTGAAGATCTGTGGAGGAAGCTTGGAGGAGGGTCAGTGCATGTGTTAGAATACAGGAAAACACTGCTCTCTCACCAGGTTGTCAGTGCACTTACACACCCAAAACGTTTATCATGACACAGACAGACAGACAGCCAGAGCAGTTCCTTGCTGGGTTTTTATCAGGGTCTTAGTGCTACTCTGGGTCTGAGCTATCAGCTCGGCCATATTTAGCCTTTAATGGCTGCTCTGCTCCACTGCTGGCCACTAATGTCACACTGTTACAATCACTTTACCAACTAATTGCTGGGCTTCCTTTAAAGTTTGGATCAAATTTCATGTTAAGCGACTAAAGTAATTAGCAGTACTTTCTAACTTTTATCTCCAAATTTCTCCCTTTGCAGAAACTGGAATCTTTACATTACTTACTGGCTATGTTGCACAGTAGCATGCAATGGTACTCGATGGCATGCATGCTGCAAAAATCTGCCTGAAACTGCATTAATAGCTGGTCAAAAAAAAGGCTACAACTTTCCCAACTGGACAACAGAGCTCTGTAACAGACTTTGTCCTGCAGGTTGGTGTTCTGTTCCTTCATTTTAACCATATTTTATGTCAATGAAATGCTGTATTTAAACTGCGACACAGATTTTTCTAATAGTAATTTTTCACATAGGAAATCTGGAAATGTATGTGAATATTAATAAATGACAGCTGCAGGGTAGAACAGAGCCATTGTTAGTGTCTTTAGGAACAGCTGTGCTTTTTCTACCATGACATGTCAAAGTATCTATTGTAAAAAAGGCCTGTCAACTAAATAATTCAAGCTAATTAAACTTAAACATATATATATATTAGATTTGCACTGAGCAGCACTGAGGTAACTCAACACAAGTGACTAGGCAACCCTAAAACATAAAAATGACCAATAGTTAAAATGATCAAAGCAAGTTGGAAAACCTCAGCTCACTGTAAAAACCTGCACAGAGAAAACTTCACATAATTAACACCATAGTCGTGCAGATTTAAGACAGAAGCAAAAGCATGCCCTACATATCACTCAGAAGCTCAGTGTCCCTGAGTCACAGCTGCTGCAAAGCTTTAGTAAAACAAGCTCAGTGTTTGGCCCATTTATCACTTTGTCAGAAGCCCTACAGAGGTCCAACTGAACTGCTGTGATAATCACAGTGCCATATGAAGAAAATGTTTGGCCAGAGAGCTTTGCTTCACTTCGGTAGGAACAAGTTCCCATTTTTGAGGAGGTTGTGGACATCATGTGTAAAATGCGAACACACAATACCACAAATACGCAGAGAAGAAGAGATGATTTTGTTGGATGAAAGTCACTATTACTACACTGCGGCACAACATCCAGCTTTCATGTGAAGAGAAAAACAATCCTATTGATATGGTCTGTAGCACCACTTTATGGTAGGAGAAGATTGTAGAGCTGACTACCTGTACAGGATTTGTCTGTTTGTGGAACCGTCAGTCACACAATACTGTATGATATTCAGGAGTTCATGAGCCATGTCTTTTTATGGTCATTTGTCATAGTGACGATGTCTGCCTGGGAGGAGGTTGTGGTGGATGAATGGATAGAAAAAACACAGGGCACTGACAACAGGCATCTTATGTGAAACCGATAGTCATTGTTGTTTCCTTTGTCCATAACTGTTCTACAGCCTTCAGCACATTTGTATTTTTGTAACCATGATGCCAAAGCTCTTGTCACCTTAAGGAGATACTTATTTTAACTCAAAACCTAATTGAGTAGTAAACATATTGAAATTGCAATCATGTTATAACATTAAATGTGTGTTTATTATTGTTACCATGATGACAAAATGCTCCCATGGGTCATACCTGAGGACTGGGACAAACGACCTATAGTATATGGTTGTTGTTGTCTGAGTCACTGATGAAGGACACAGTGGGGGGCTTTAGAAGGCAGGTGTGTCCTTTTCATTCATATCCTGGAGCAGTTTTTGTATTACTAATCTTGAGTACTTGCTGTTAAAATAATTACAATACATTTATGTTTCAACTTAGCAATGATTTTACTCTGTCTCACCTAGTCATGTCGTGACAAGTAACCACATGCATTTGTTGAAGTAAACTGTGTTATGTTTGTCAATCTCTTAGTGTTACCGTATAAACATCCCCTTTTCTCTTTTGACAAGATACCTCAATTTGGTTTTTCAGAAGCCTCCCTTACTATCTGTTCTTACATAAAAATGTCAGTCAACCAAAAGAGGACAGGCTGCAAAAGCAAAGCATGTGTTTGACTGTGGGATGTAATCTTTAGTCACTGAGCAAACACTACAATAAGAGTGTTGTGTCTAAAGTTCATATCGTCCTTGGTGTTACTGCTACTGCCCTCTTCCCACTATACTGAGGCAACACTGCGTCTGTTTCTGTGTGTTTACACTTCAAGGGCATCTACAAAGCCTAACTAGGCAGTGTGCATTCTCTGTGTAGTGATATGGAATCATCACAATAGTGTTGTGTTTGGTGTTAGCTACATTTTACTGCAGCGGGGTAGCCGATAGATAGATAGATAAACAGACAGACAGACAGACAGACAGACAGATAGATAGATAGATAGATAGATAGATAGATAGATAGATAGATAGATAGATAGATAGATAGATAGATAGATAGATAGATAGATGGGGGAAACTTTGGTAACCATTTGCACAATATACTACAACACCAACAACAGACAAACAACAAACTAAGAAGGAGGAAAAAACACCCAATAATAATTAAACAAATCCAAAGACAAATTTGATCCAGTTGCACCCCTCAATCCATCCTCTCCTCTCCTCTCTCTCCCTATTCTTCTATATGCCACCATTACACATCACTAACTTTGTGTCTCCTCTCTCTCTCCCTGTACCTTTCTGCAGGTTGCCCTGGCCCTGGAGCTCTA